AAGTTTTATTATTTTCTTCTGTCTCCTTTTTTGAACTTATATGATTTTTCAATTATTTAAAAGCTTTAATTCCTGCCTCAGCCTCTCAGGTGCAGGGATTATAGGTGTGTGCCACCAAGCCTGGCTTCTTTCTCTTAAGTTATTTTTTTTTCTCCATAGCATATTGATTGTGTGTGTATGTGTGTGTATATGTGTTCAGGTGTGTTTGAGTATGTACATGTATGTGCATGGGCATATAGAGGCCAGAGGTTGACACTGTCTTCCTCAATTACTCTCCACCTCTTATTTTGAGACAGGGTCTCTCACGAAACCTGGCACTCACTAATTGGCTAGATTGGCTGGCCATCGGGCTCCAGGGATCAGCCTGTCTTGCACTGATGCCATGCTAGGGTAACAGATGCAAAGGAACATACCGGGATTTTTTTTTTAAAGCTCAGCGTCTGTCTCATTCATTTCAGTTCTTCCTCCCTTTCTAAAGCAAGCACAGAAAGCCCTCCAGACCCTCTGATTGCTTCTTAGCTACGTCTCACAGTTTCTGATTCAGAGTTGAATGCGCAGTGTCGGTCGTATTTGTCTGCCTCCTTTTGATTATGAATCCTTTGGACACAGAACCTTAGCAAGCCATGTAGAAAGCCATTGCTTAAGCCTGGGGAAACACAAGCTTTGTTTTCTTTAAATAGTACTAGATCTTTTTCACTGTGGCTGTCCCACAGCGTGCACCGTTTCCAGTAGTCCTTGTCTCCACTGAGCCAGGAAGGCGCTGCCAAGCCTCTATGCTCTTCTTACTGTGCAAACTCAGTTGCCATCCAGAGAGAAGGTCAACCCTAAGACCAGCCTCAGAGCTGACTGCCTACTGGTGTCAGAGCCTGTGATAACAGGAAGGGAAGAGTGGCTTGAGCAGAGCCTGTGTGTGTAGAGGATGGGAACTGAGTCCTAGGGTGTAGCTACCTATGTGTCCTCTTCCAGGACAGAGCTAACTGGGGCCCCAGGCTCCTTTCCCTTGTCAATCTACTCAAGCATTGACGGGCTCCTCGTCCCTTAGTGCTCCTCACACATTAGCATTAGTGACCCTAAGCTGGGGCCTCTTTTGTGCATCACCCCCCACCCCCTGCTCAGGACCCTCTAACTTCCCATAGTCGATGAAGACAAGATGCAGATGGCACTGGAGAGCCACTCTGAGCCCAGCAGGAGCAGGAGGCCAGGAGATGACAGCGTTGCCCCCAGGGGCAGCTTCCTGGAAGATGATTTAAAGGCGGATCCTACACCCCAAGCTGTCTCTTGTGATCTTAATTTGTGGCTTTGTCTGATGGGACTTGCTTCCCTCTGCATCTTCCTCAGGCTGTTTATTTGGGGAAAGGATATTCCCTGCCTTTCATGTCTAAGCTGTTTCCTCCTGTGAATGTCCCCTATGAGGTCTTCAGCAGGCCGGGGGCTCCAGCGGGAGGGGTGGGCTCTTCTCCTGGGAAGTGAGCCCTTGGGGCTGAGTGGTCACACAGTCTCTGTCTTGGGGAAGTCCCTGGGGGACCATCTCTTGATTCTGTGGTGGGCAATCCCCGAAGATCTGACTGAAACTCTCAGCAGATTTCCTTGGGCTTGGCCTAATAAGATTTTTCCTTTAAAAGGAACTTTCCATTGTTTGTTTTAAAAGTGAAATGGGCATTTTTTCCAACCACAGGGGCGATGCTGGAAGAGCCTGTAATTTCTAGGATCCAAGTCGGAGCTTAAAAACAAGAAGAAGAAAACGGAGGAAAAAGTCTTCCAATTAAAACTAGTCTCTTTATTCCTCCCTCGGGCTCTCTTTGGTCACTCTGCACTGAGGGGCGACAGCAGGGTCCTTATTTTAACTTCTATCCCAAGCTCTAATGAGCAAATTCTTCCATTCTCTCTCACCAATAATGAGATACCTGCAGCTAATTAGACACCAGGAGTAGGGTAAAACCCAAGATTGATGATGGAGTTTCAGTGCTGCCCAATACACACCCACTGTGTGCCTTCCACCAGGCACTGAGCCCTTATACAATGCATGGCTTCTGCCCTCAGAAACATGGAGCCAGAGACAGCTGGGAAATCGACTTCTCAGTATGGAGTGGTGATGGAAAGGGTCAGATGGAATACAAAGTAGACCCAATGATCTATCACTTGGTGTTTGTCTTTCTTTTAACTTCCCAGAACCAGTGGATACACACCAAGTGGGGCACCAAGATGTGGAAGATATAAGCCCTGCTCCCAGGAGACCACGGTCCTTGAAGGGAGCCACTCACAAGTCTGGATCCAGGCAGGCGGACTAAGAACTAAGCACTGCCATGTGGTGGTGAGCAGCCTCACAGGTACTGAGGAGACAGAGGACAAAGGGTTTTGAGACCAGAAGAACCTTTCTCTTAAATAAAACCCCAGGGGAAGAAGACAGGCAACCTGGGGCAGGTCAGTGGCATGGAGCTTTGAGGTAGACAAGGGGGACCCACGTGGCAAGGAGGGAAGGGTCTGCGACAACCACCAGGCATTCCTGGAGGAGCTCAGAACCGACTAGCCTGAGCACTCAGGTCCATTACCAGGCCCGATTCTACCTTCCAGAGCTTGCAGCTCTTGGCTGGAAAGTTTATGAGAGCTGGCTTATTCTCTGGTGTCTTGGCACTTTCCCTTCATGTCCTGATTGGAACCAGGGAGGCTGTAAGTGCAAACGTTTTTGTACCTTAGAGTAAATTATATCTGCGTTCCTGGAGAAGGCTGTGGTGAAAGTGTCTCTTGTTTCCAGTGGCCCCACGCTCCCCTCAGGAGACCCAAATTCCAAGCCGGCGCTACTATAAAGTTGATGAATGCGTGCCAGGCCCTAATCCAATATGCAATTGCCCTTCTTTCTCCTCTCCTTTCTGCAAGCGAAAGGAAGCTGGATTTTTAATAAGGTAATAGCACCTCTTTTATATTTTCCTTTCATAAATTATAAGGAATTGAGAGCAGAATAAGGCAGTAGCTTGGCACAGCAGGATGATTACTGAACTGGGTGGGAGTGTAAATTGGTGCAACCACTTTTGGAGAGCAAATTGGCAGTATCTAGTAAAGCCCAAGTCTACCAGCTCCCCTCCCAGGCGAGCTCCCTGGAGACACTCTGCATTGCAGAGTTGTCAAACACAGAAACTCACTGGGAAAAACCAAGCCCATTGATGAGAAAATGAGATGGCTGGGTCCCCCAAACATTTCAGTGTTATTTGTGACAGTGAAAAGACACTGAAAAAAGATGGCTATTGGTAAAGAGAAATGATGGCATTTGAGATGTTAGAATAAAGGAACCAGCCTTACATTCATTAATGTAGTAAAATCTCATATAAGACTGTGACAGCAAGTTGCAGGACTTGGATGACATAAAGGTGCTCAGAAAACAAGATGATTCTATGTGCTGTTTCTAGATGCATACGTGCATTGTGATGGTACAAAAATGTGGAGATGGGCTGGTGAGATGGCTCAGTAGATAAAAGTGCCTGCCACCAAGCCTGATCTGAGTTTGATCTTTGGGACCCACATGATGGAAGGGGAAAACTAACTCCTGCAAGTTGTCCTCTGATCTCCACATGTATGTGTGCATAAATAAATAAATAAATAAATAAATAAATAAATAAATAAATAAATAAATAGGGGCTGGAGAGATGGCTTAGCAGCTAAAAGCACTTGCTGTTTTTCCAGAGGATCTGGGTCAGTTCCCAGCCTCCCCACATGGTGGCTAATAACTACCTGTAACTCCAGTTCCAGGGAATCTGACGCCATCTTCTGGTCTCCAAAAGCACTATAAAATGTGGTACACTTACATTCATGCAAGCAGAACACTCAGGTGAATTCCTGGGGCTCACTAGCAGGCCAGCCCAGCCTAATTGATGGCTATCAGGCCAGTGAGAGATCTTGTCTCAAAAAACAAGGTGGGTTGTGAGTGGTGGTGCATACCTTTAATCCCAGAACCTGGGAGGCAGAGACAGATGAATCTCTGTGAGACTGGGGCCAACCTGGTCTACATAGTGAGTTCCAGGCCATCTAGGACTACAGGGAGATCCTGTTTCAAAAACAAACAAACAAACAGAACTAAGGTGGGCAGTGCCTGAGAAAAAACACCTGAAGGTGGTCTACTGACCTCCACACACCCATATACACATGTGCACCTCCACCCACACGAACATGTGCACATGTATACACATATACATGCACCCAAAAAAATAGAGAATTACACATTTTCAAGTGAATCTAAAGGGACTCTGTCTCAGAAAGGAAGGTGAACAGCACCTGAGGAGCAAAGCCGAGGTTGTCCTCCGGCCTCCATACACATACATGTGCACGTGTACCAGCACATACATACAGGGACATGCACATGCACTTGTGCACACACAAATAGTAACCCCAGCATATCTGTCTACTTTCCAGTGACAAGGCAAGTAAATAATAGGGCATAGCCAAATTCTAGAACTTTACCTGAGAGGCTAAGGAAGTGCTTGGTGGTAATTCAGGCTTGCCTATGAACATGTCATAAACTGGTGCTTGAAGCCAAGCCCAGAGCAGCTCTTCCTGTTGCCAGTGGTCATGAAATCGGATGTGATGGAGCCATGAGGGGCACTAGCATTTGGTCCTGGAATGGAGACGCTAAAATGGCAGCATTTGCTGCTGAACCTCCTGGGGTGGACTCAGGCGGCTCTTAGCAGAATTGCTTGGGACTTCTCTTTTCTCCAAAACCGTGAGTTGATTTCAGGTGCCAAGGCCTTGAAACCACACCCCCAGCTCTGGTTCCTCAGGCTCTTAAAAGTGTCTGAAGCATGACAGTCACTCCATTTTTCTGTACATCATCCAAGACAGGCTGTGAAATAGGCTTTCCACTTTAAGTGACCAAGCCCTCTATGTGTCAAGCCCTGTGCCTCAGAGAACACCATAGCCTTTGGGGCTACTGCTTTTAACCTGTACGGTTGCTTCTAAGCATCTGAGCCCCACTTCAGTCTAGAACCCCATGGTTGTTTCTATGCTTTTTTAAAAACTGTCCATGTCAAGCTGTCATGATTTTATCCCCAGAATGGCAAAATCAGGAACAGTCAACACGACTTTTCTTTTAGCAGGATAATATATTTCTATGGTTTAAACTGTGTGGAATTAACCTCTTCTGTACCTCCCCATGTCCATCTGTAAAATAGGAACAATGACATCAAATCACACGACTGCTGTGAGGATTACATGAGCTTTACATATATATGCAGATTTTATTTTTTCAAATTTATGTGTATGAGTATGTCTGTGTGGGTATGTACATGTGTGCCAGCAGAGGCCAGAAGAGAGTGTTGGGTCCCCTGGAGCTGGAGCTGCAGGTGGTTGTTAACCAGCTGACTTGGGTGCTGGGAACTGGACCTGGGTTCTCTGCATAAACCGCAAGTGCTCTTAACTGCTGAACCATCTCTCTTAGATATATGTAATATTTTCCGTAATTTTAGACACATTCTCTTTGTTTTCCACTACATAGAGTTCTGTCCCATTCTCTGATTTCCTTGGCTATTCAGAACACAGATGACAGGACACAGTTGGAACCCAGAACTCCTAATCCCTGAAGTCTCTGCTTGAACCCACAAGGGGGAGAAACGTTTTCCTCTGGCCCTAGAGAAAGAGAAAAAGAATGATGAATACAAGTTGGCAGGGGGTTTAATTATAACATAATTATATATTTATTACATATAAATACTGTTGTTACTTTTATTTTGCCCTGGAGGGAAGTAAATGACCTAATTCTCTTTCCATTCTTTTCCTGGTTGGAGTTTTTGCTAGGTTGACTTCTCAGCCCATTTTTTTCTCTTGTAAAACATCTCAGGTGATGAAACCCTGGAGTTGGACAAACCACCTGAGGAAATTCAGGGCTTCTGCAGAAAACACACGGTTGCTAGGGAGGGCTGGGGATGTATTTGTTTAACATCGTATCCCTGTTTCGTGGAGCATGCTATTTCCACTGGGTACGAGCCAGCGCCGCGTTCCTCCCTGTCCTGTCCAACCTTGAACATTTCTCTGCGATTATGTTTCATCTGAGGATTAGCAAAATGCAGAGGGGAAAAAACCCGAGAAGGTGTTTGGCGGGGGACTCGGTGCTGCGTTCGCACAATCTGCTGGCGCACTTGGCTAATTGGAGAGCTGCACCGGGGGGGGGGGCTCTCAGAGCAGGACAGCGCTTCATCTTTGAGCCCCGAGAACCCGCTGCCTGTTGTGGGTCAGGCTTGTTTTTAACCCTCAAGAAACACCAAACAAGAAGTTCTCACTCCTCACTGAGCTTAGCTACCTGAGAACCTGAGATCAGAGCTTAAGAACCTTCTATCAGGGCGAGCCAAGGTTCATTGCGTGGAAAGTCTTGAACAAATCTCGAAGATTCACTTTTTTTTTTTTTTAAACCAGGGGAGACATTACTTCAGCTGCTAAAAGCAGAAGACACAGCCATTTCCAGAGGCTTGAAAGATAAAGTTGTCTTACCAAGCTCAGGGTCTGGAAGAAAAAAAAATGGGCTGAGGGACTTTCTGAGTCAGCTTCAGTCTGTCTGTGGCCACCCTTGAGACTTGAACTTGGAGCCTGGCTGTGTGTAGCCATGAATGAGGCACCAGTGTAAGGACAACTTTGGAGTCACCTGCCACCACTTCCCTTCACATCTGGCCTGTTTTCCTGCTCTGCTTTAAGTATATTCTTAACAGAGACTTTATTTATTTATTTATTTATTTATTTATTTATTTATTTATTTTTGAGGTAGGGTCTCTAGCCCAGGCTGGCCTCAAACTTACATATGTAGCTGAGGATGACACTGAACTTCTGGTCCTCCTGACTCTGCTTCTTAATGCTGGGATTATAGGTAGAGCTACCATGCCATTGATGCAGTGGTAGGGATCGAACTCAGGGCTTTGTGTGTGCTAGGCAGACACTCTATGAACTGGGCTACTTCTCCAACTTCCTTGATAGAGACTTGAAAGGAAGTGGGAAGAAGGTAAAGGAAAGTGGCTGGAAAAGGGCAGGAGGCCCTTGCTCCGATTTTAGACTGATTTTTTTTTTTTTTTTTTTTTTTTTTTTACATTTATTTGGTTTGTGTTTGTGTTTGTGTGCTTGTGCCATGGCACTCAAGCAGAGGTCAGATGACAACTTTCAGGAGTTGATTCTCTCCTTCCACCTTGTGGGTTCCTGGGGTGGGGTGAGTAGTGGGATGGAACTCAGTTCCTCTGACTCAGCAGCAAGCACCCTTACCTGCTGAGCCATTTCTCCTGATTTTCTACCTTTATGGTCCTTCTGTGAGGCCAGGGGGAAGCCACACTTTGGCAGGCACTGAGTAGTTAGCCATTGAAGTGCTGCAGAAGCAGGATCTCCAGGGTCAAGTTTCTTATGAAAACTCCAGGCTGTTGATTGCCTTTAAGTGCTCCTCGCCCTAGTCAGAGGGTCCTGTACAGGCTGGCCGAGGGCTCTTATCCTGGGAAGAAACCCAACAACCTGGGGTGTCAAGAAGACACCAGCAGAAGGGAGACAGGGATCCAAAGCTCCTGTCACACATCCAAAGTTGGGATGTGCGGCCAGAGGCTGAACTGACTCTGAGCTCCTGTCACACATCCAAAGTTGGGATGTGCGGCCAGAGGCTGAACTGACTCCGAAGTAGTAGACGGAAGTTCTGAGGTGGGGCTGGCTGGGAGACCAGGCTGAATGTGAAATACAAAGGAAACACAACTTTCTGTGAAGTTGGGGTGCAGAACACAGGATCTGAGGGCATTAGGGGCAGCCCCTTCTGGGCATACTCAACTGCCTGGAGAGGGAGGGGTCTGACATTGTGCTAAGGAGATGGGGAGACCGAGAGGGTGGGGCCAGGCTCCATTAGGATCATTTGGCGAGCTCTACTCCTCCCCTGTCACAAAGCACTCCCTCCTTCTTCTGGACAAAACTATTTCTTTTCTTTTTAAAAATATATTTTTATATTTTCTGGAGACTTTCATACATGCATTCAATGTATTTTGATCATATTAACCTGCTCTCCCAGATCCACCCCACCTCCTCCCAACTTTGGCTCCTCTTTTATTATTAATTTTATTTATTGATTCCAGTTTGTGCCGCTCGTACAGTGAGGGTGGGGCCATCCCCTCGAGCATGGTCAACCTACTAGGGGCCACACCCTTAAAAAAAGCTGGTTCTTCCTCCTCCAGCAGCCACCAGCTGTCGATGGCTCCTTGGCTAGGGGTGCAGGTTCCTGAGCCCCACGTGCTCCATGCTGGAAAGTTGACTGGTTTGATCTTTTGCAAGTAACCACAGCTGCTGTGAGTTCATGAGTATGAGGGTCCTGTCACTTCCAGAAGACTATTTTGCCCTGGAGTAAAAGAGAGGAAACCATTTCTTAAAGGCCCATCATTAGCTGGAAGGGGCTCACCTTAGAGTAGGATCCTGGAAATGGCTGTGAACTTGACATCAGAATACCTGGAGGATAATCTTGGTACCGCCTCATCACTAGCTTTAGGCAAGCAATTTGACATCTTAGAGCTTTAGTTCCCTCATCCAAAAAGCATTTGGGACAGGAATAGTATCCAGACTAAAACAAGACTTAACAGTCTTGGTAGTCTAACAGAAAATATCCGTACTTTGCAGTTACTCTCAGCTTTAACACTCACTTTCCCGCCTCTTGACTCTGGGCAGTAGAAACCACATTGCACCAGCTGAGACCTGGTGCTCCCCCACCCCCATGAAATCTTGCCGTGCTTTATGAAGAAGCTCAGGCTGAGGGTAACAGCACACAGGAAGAGGTGCAGATGTCTTAGCTGCAACCATACTAAACCAGACAAAGCCACCTGAACCCCCAAGACCAGTAGATCTCTGTACTCATCAGTAGTAAAGGCTACTCTGTATTTTGAGCCATTTAGTTTGGGGATGATTGGTAAGTGGTAACAGCTAATTGGTATCGAGCTGGTGAGTATTAATGAATTGGCAAGGATTAATCAATCAGAACTAATCATTAAGGATCATTGTGGCTTAGCCTTGAGTTGTGATGGCAGCACACATAATCAGTCACAGCGAGGAGTGATATAACTTGCTAGCTGGGAGGGTCTTCCTTGGACCACACTCTTGCAGCAGCAGGATGGGACAGCACATCCAAATGGCATCTTGGTCATGTCTTACATGGCCTTGGGATTCAGAATAAAGTGGTATTTAGTGTGCAAGAGGCAATCTCCCACAGGAGACCAAAGTTTATTTGAGGCTTGTAAAAACAATTTATTGCAACAAGTGAATTCTTTCTACTGGATCACATGGTGTTGCAAATGTAATAGTTTAAAATTAGAATTCTCTTCCTTGATTTATAGATTTGCCACAGAAGCTTCTAAGAGTAGACTCAAATGCCATGTATCATCCCCACGGTAACCTCAGCTATGAGGCAGGCTGGGGCTCTCCCATGGGGGCTGTTGGGCAGGAGGAAGTGACCGACTATTGTATGAGGCTGAAGTTAGGACAGGTGGGGGGAGTGTAGGGTCATCTGTAGGCAAGATGGACATTAGCCAGCTTACTATCCGAAGTATGTGGTAAGCAGAGGGCTAGGCTGAGGGTCTGCTCAATTCTGAGAGCTGAGTGGCCAGGCAGGCAATCACTGGAAGGCTGGCTCCAGAAGCCCTCTCCATAAAGGGGCAGGAAACAAGAGTATACTGGAAGGGATAAAGGGAGTGACAGGAAGCATCCTTGTATTACTCCAATAACAAGAAAGGGTGCATAGTGTGGAAACCTAGACTCTCTTGGCGCTAATAAAAATGGGTGTCATGGTAGTCTTGATTGGAATGGAAGCAGGGACTGGCTTAAGACTGCAGATTGATGGCTCTGCATTGTTTTGGAAACCTGTGGCAAACATAACATGGATGAATGAAGAGAAGGATAGCATCAAGTCATTCTGCCTGGACAGTGGACAGCACTGGGTCATCAGTATTCTCCGACAGTTACACAGTGGAAAGTGGAATACCAGTGGGTTCAACTCCAAGAATCCTTTTCTTGGAACATAGAGCTGCATCCAGCCTTGACAGTGTGACCTGATATTGCCATCTACCTGTTGTGTTGAGCTGCTTTCACAGCTATCTGGGATGCATGTGGCCTGCTGGCTGCAGATTGGACACAGCCTGATTGACCACCAGGATGG